TGAGGGACTCTGTATTCGGCACTTCAGACAGAGCACACTGCACTTCCTCAAGGAAGGTGTCATATTCTCCCTACAAACTGGGCGCATAGACCTGTACCAAGGTCATTGATTTAGCCTGTTGTAGCTTCAGTCGGAGGATTGCTACTCTTCCGCTGATATTCTTCAGTTCAATGATTCTGTCCGCAGGGTTGGGTTCTACCACAACACGAACACCGGCCTTCGCGTGCGTTGTACTGTCGACTCCTCAGTAGAATAGGTTCCACTTGCAGAGATTCAGAATTTCATTTCTTCGGCATTTGATTGATTTGTGTTCAAGTATGTTCACTCCTTATCGTACTTTTTCGAAACTAGTTCCTGGTCTTTCTCTCAGAGTGAAGCGGTGTTTGAATTTCCTACGCTCCCAGTGTGGTGTTTTTCCCGTGGAGCTTATCTGGCGTGTCATCATGTTGTCTGCTTCCTTCGTTCAGAGCAGCTATCATATCCTCTGCTGACAGTTGCTTTAATCATCTTCGTGTTTTTCGGCAACCGTCATCATGCTGCTCCCGCTCCTCCTCCATCTCCCAGGGGTGCAGTAGGTTCTGATTTCTGATTTTTCGCAGCCTGTGTCAGTTCGCCAACGGTTTGCACCATCTTTGGTATCCCAGTTGAGGTGAACGATACCTTTCGATAACGACAATACGTTGAGGCGCAGGTGATTAGGCGTAACGGTCAGCTCATGAGTTTCCCCAATCCTCTTCTTTTCTTATCATGGCTTGGGATAGGCAGCGGCATAGTTTTTAGATATCCATTATTTTTTGTCTGTGACTTTGCTGAAAACGGCCATTAGCAGTTGCAAAAATAAACTTGGTTTATGTGGCATGGAGGCATTTGCTCTATTTAATACTAATGTATGCGAAGGTGATTAGCTGCTTCCCAGTAGGTGCCTGTGCCGATCGTACAAACTGTCATTTTGAATGCATTGAAATCCTAAACACTACGAATATATGTAGACTGTTAAAGCAAGAAACAATGCATTCTCACCAGGTGGGTTTCATCTGTCGTCCAACGCTCTTCTACCAGACACTGCGGCATGGGTGCATCGCCGTTGAAGCCACGTTCCTCGCAGATGTTGATTACATATGTAAACCGTCGCATTTCAGCCAGAACAGTTCAGGCGGCCACAGAAGACAAGTGGCCCCATTTACGGTAACACTGATTTACAATAACTTTTAGAAAACAGTATTATTTATTCGAAAACATAAAATAACATGCAGCTTGTAATAAATAGGGACGAATTAATGGATTTTTTCTTGCATGGCTTCGGACGCACTGTAGAAAAGCCAAGACGCTTAGTGGAAAGTGAGACCGGCACCGATGTAGGTATCAGCGATCTTTTCAACAGCATTCGCGTACGCTGCGGTTCTCAGGTCATTGCCCAAGTTGTATTTCGCCGCAGTCTTGATGATTCGCTGAAAGCAGATGAGACTAAATTCTTGCAAAAAAATCTTTTAGATTTTGTTGACCCCACCCCTCGGCACAGTCGGAAACGAAAATGATCCCCATCCTATCAAGTTTTTATCATTGGATGCGCAGTCATCGCGAAATCCCTCATTTCTGTTGGTTACATCGTTTACGGCGATGATTCCTTAATTTCTCGTCAAACTCTGGAAATGGTCGTCTTTGTTAAGGCCGATTAACGATTGCTCTCAGGTAAGAAACACTTACAATCACTTACGATACACTTTAATGTAGAACGGCGCCCACTAACATAAGGAATTATGATTGCTAACTTCCGAGCTTACCAAGGATCAAGGCAACAACATAGATCAGGCCTTTCTTGTGTTCCTGGTTAACAATACATGTCTCAAAATAATCCACTATATTGGAATAAAAATTCTATCTCGACGATACCGGAATTTTTTCACCTATGAATTGTTGCAGTGCATAAGTTGTTGATTGATCTAATAATACGTTGCAGTTCAGTTTTCCGCGTAATTATATAAAATTGCGCTTTCCGTATTCTGAAAGGAAAGTTTATAACCGCTCAAATGTCTGTCTTCCTTACACTTTCATTATGGGACCATTTTGTGCGTCATTCATTTCTTGTTAATGAAATTCAGTTGTAGGTGAGGCACTGATCTTCATTTTAATGTTACAACCACGAATACCTTATTTTAAAGGGTGAGTCGACAGCAGCTGTGTGGCAAGAATAGTTTGTAGTTTCCTGTTTCCTTTCCAAAGAGTTGTACTCTTTCGCATACCTCGATGGAAAAAAACGCGAGTTACATGGCTAAAGCTGGGACCCGGAATTTTTTGGTTCCAACTCTGACGCTCTATGGACTGAGCAGCCTTGGCCTATGGTAAGCTGTTTTATTTGACGCTTACATGACGAGCTTCAGTAGGTAGACAGTTTGATGAACTTCGGTCGTTAGGTAGAAGAAACGTCCTCCTCTTCGTCTAGATTCTCAACTATTTACAAAACTTATCGGTTGTGTG